GTTGAGATGGGAAACACTGATTCCAATCCACACGTCTCTTTTTCACTGTTGGGAGTCTAAGGAGTTCTGGTAGCATAGTGGTTACCAGTTGGGCTGCTAACGTCAAGGTCAGCAGTTCAAAGTTACCAGTCATTCCATGGATGGAAGATGAAGCTTTCTGCTCCCCAAAAGATTTACAGCCTTGGCAACCCTATACAGGGTCACTATGAGTCAAACCTATCAAGTTGCTCCTTGGAAACCCTCTACAGACTCATTGTGGGTCAGAACTGACTGCTCTGATTCAGAACCGATCGGCACCTAACAATTGTAGTGTGGCACTTTAAGATAAGTACTGGACTGCTAACCGTAAGATTGGCAGTTCAAACCTACCAGCCACTCCTTGGACCTCCTATACAGCATCACTATGAGTCAGAATCTAGTCTATGACACTAACAGCAACAACATTTACAGCTCAGAGTTAAGTCCCCTAGGGGAGGTCACACAGCATGTTGGGAACAAGAGTCTCCTGGCCCACAGCACACAGTTCAATTCTGGCTCTGGTGGGATTTTGTTTGCCTGTCAATTTACTTAGATCAGTGATATTCCGGAGAACCCTCAGCGAACAGAGTCAATCTGCTGCCCCCCTTGGAAAAACCAAATGAAAGGACTTATTGTCCAGTGAAGAAGAAACACTATTAAGACAGAAGTCAAAGCTGTTGTATTTTTAAAATAGTCTTTCTATGCTCCCAAATGCTTCACGGAATCTTTTCAGATTGAATTAACCTCTGTTTCCCAGCCCAGCAATTCTTCTCATATATCCATATATGAAAAGATTTTTTTCTCAAATGTCATTCTATTTTCTAATTAAAAGTGACTCTAGTCCTTCAAATGCTAGCAGCTAATGTTTTCTCTGGTGAAGTGTCTGTTCAAACTGACTCAAGGCACAAATTTAAAAAATGGGTTTGTTTTATTATTGAGTTGTAAAAGTTGTTTATATATTCTGAGTTTAAATTCTTTATCAGATATATGTTCTGCAAAACTAAGAAACAACCGTTGAGATGACCTCCACACATTCTTATTTTTTGAATGTCAGTGAAACAAGAAAGAAACAAAAAAATCTTGTCTGCTATGAATAGCGCATTACTAGTTTTGTTTTAATTAGTACGCATATGTTATCTCTTCCTCTCATTTCTTTAGTTTTTTAAATGACTTTTTAAAAAATCACTTTGCATATAATAAAATATTTTAGATGTGTGACTTGGTGCATTTTGAGACATGAACCATACTCAAGATATAAAGCATTTCCATCGCTCCCAGAATTGTGAAGGAACGCTGGGATTAGGTAACACTCCCAGAGGTTATCTAATGATCCTTTGCAGCTAATTCCTTTCTTTTACACGCAGCCCCAGGTGTAGCACTGTTGGTTAATGTGCTGGACTACAAAGTCAGTTTGAACTGCAGGGTTGTCAGTTCAAGCTCACCATCCGCCCCTTGGAAACCCTATACAGGATCGCTATGGGCTGGAACCGACTTGGCACTAAACAACAGAAACATCCTGGAACCACTGATCTAATTTCTGTTGTATAATTGTATCCTTTATCGAATATCATGTAACTAAAATTCCTCAATATATAATCTTTTTCTGTCTGCCTGCTTTCACTTAGTGAAATTATTTTCAGATTCACTCTATAGATCATTCCTTTAATTGCCAAGTAGGATTCTGTTGTATGGCTATATACCACAATGTGTTTCTCGGTTCCCCAGTTATGTATAGTTGGATTGTTTCCAGCTTTGAACTTTTATGACTGAAGCTGGTATGAACATTCAAGTCTTCTCATGGCTATATTTTCTTTATCTTTGGGGTAAATGCCTAGGAGTGGGGCTGCTGGTAGGGAGGTGAAATATAACAGTTTGCCTAGGACTGAAGAGTTTCCCAGAAAGTGGGACAACTTTCAGTGCTGAAACTGGGGTAGTCTTGGGTAAACCAGGACACTGGTCATTCTAGGCGGTGTCATTTGGCAAGTACATGCATGTTTAACTTCATGAGACACTGCCAAGGGTTTTCAAAGTGGCCACACCATTTTCATTCTTACAAGCAGTATAAGAGTGTCCCAGTTTCTCCACATTCTCACCAGTATTCAGTCAGTAATGCAATTCTTGTTAATTTTAGCTACTCTGGTGGGTTTGTTGTAGAATCTTGTTGTGGTTTTAATTTGCATTTTTCTAATGACTAAGGATGTTAAACATCTTTTTCTGAGCTAATTTGTCATCCTAATGTTTTCTCTGGTGAAGTGTCTGTTCAAACTGACTCAAGGCACAAATTTAAAAAATGGGTTTGTTTCATTATTGAGTTGTAAAAGTTGTTTATATATTCTGAGTTTAAATTCTTTACCAGATATATGTTCTGCAAATCTTTTTTTTACCGTAGCTTGTCTTGCCATTCCCAAAAAAGGAAAGTTTAAAATAATTTTATGTGGGTTAATACGCTAGACTGCAAGGTCGGTATTTCAACCTCACCAGACGTTCCTCAGCAACCCTATACAGGGTCGCTGTGGGTTGGAACAGACTGGACGGCACTTAACAACAACACCAATGTATATTAAAAATTATGGATATATATTATTGCTTGTGTTATTATAATATTAATAAGAGCAAATATTATGTACGTTATAGCGTTGTTGTTCTTAAGTGCCCTGTGGAATGGCAAAATTAATAAGAAAGATGAGGCTTTCTGCTCCCATAAAGATTTACAGCCTGGAAATCCTATATGGGGACTGACTCAAAGGCACACAACCACCACCATCATCCTTCACCTATCCTGTGTCTTTTGGTTCCCAGTGGTTTTGAAAACACTTAACACTACTTGAAACCCTGCAGTAACCCTAAACCACATACAGTGCTGTTTGTTTTGTAAGTGTTGGCTATCCATTGCATCATATTTTAAATATCTGGGTTTAAGTTTATATGTGTCAGTATAGAAGTAGGTCTTGAGAACATGTGGTTTATATTTTGAAGTAAATAAACATGAACCTTGTGTTTGGAGGAAGGAGAATTGCATTAAACTAATAAATCACATGAAAATGATGTAGCACACTTGTAGCAAATAAAGCAGAGTATACTCTGGAAGCTTGAAAGTAGGTTTAAGGGTAGAGGAAGAGACAAAATCTTCTAAGTGTTTTTACTTTTCTCAGAAGGAATCTCAGAGTTCAATCATGAATGATTAAACCCATTGAATTAGTTATTGTCGTTAAGTGCTATTGAACTTGTTTCTGAGGAGCAGCTGTGTATGGTTTCTGAGGAGCAGCTGGTGGGTTTGAACTGCTGACCTTGTGGTACACAATCCAGCGCTGATCCTACAGCGTCACGTCACACCAGGAGTTTTAAAAGGAATGGACAGAATACTTGTGCCCTGGAGCTTTGCCCCTGTGAGCCTTATAATCTTTGGTGTGCTATTTAACCTTTTTGTTTTTGTAAGAATGAAATGATTTGGTACATTTAAAGGACTTGCCCCGGTGCCAGGCATACAGCATATTCTGAATTCGCTAGTTCTGGTGTCCTGGTGTGATGCTGTAGGATTATCACTGGACTGCTAACTGCAAGGTCGTTGGTTCAAACCCACCAGCCGCTCCTTGGAAACCCTATACAGGGTCTCTATGAGTCAGAACTGACTGGACAGTATGCAGTAGCATCATTTCTGCTGTCAGGAGCACTAGTGGTGTAGTGGGTTATGAGATGGCCAACTAACCACAAGATCAGCGGTTCGAACCCATCTCGGAAACCCTCTACAGGGCACTTAACTCAGTGCCACTCAGTGGCACTTAACAGCAACAACAATTAGCTAGCTCAACACAGCAAGTGTAAAAAATTGTAGACTTTGAAATATAGGCCTAGGCTCCTGTCCAGGTCAGTGCCTGAAAGCAATTTGCTGAACAACTGTTCATGGAATTATTGAGTGCGTCTTCTAAATTTCAGGAAATGATCCCAACTCTGGCCCCTGCCCTGCCTGTCTCTGCGTGTCTCTGGCTCCCACAGTGAAACAGAAATAGCCTTTTGTGAAATGACTACATGGGAATTTGACTTTGTGGGCTAATTGATATTTCTGCAAGCCAATGAATTGGCAAATGGGGCTGCTAACTCTGAGCGTGGAGGCCTGGTGCGGCTCTGTAGGATAAGCACTGGACCGCAAGATTGGTTTGAACCAGTTCAAACTCAACCAGCCGCTGCTCGGAACCTTATACAGGGTCACTGAGTCAGAACTCGTGACGGTACTTAACAACAACAACCCTGGATGTGAATCCCTACTTAGCTGTGTGCCCTTGGTCAAGTTACTGAACTTCTGTGAGCCTCCTTTACGCGTTGAACTGCTAACTGCAAGGTTGGGGCTTCAAAGCCACCAGCTAACCCTCAGGAGAAAGAGGAGGCTGTCTACTCCTGTAAACGTTTAAGGTCTCCGAAACCTTATGTAGGGTCACTGTGAGTTGGAATCCACTCTATGACAGTAGGTTTTGCATTGAATTAGTTCATTGAATTCTCCCTACAAAGTATGTGCTAATATTATTCCCATAACCTGATGGTCAGGGAAGTTAAGCTACCAAGTGTCAGACCCGCTGCATCACCCCTGAATACTTGTGTGTGGGAGGCTGGGTATGTGATGTTCCCTAATGTCAGCTAGCCACCAATTCTTTTAGATATTTATATGTAGTATTTTTGCCATCCACTCTATTAGATATAGTGTTACTTGAAATCCTCAGACAGCTTTTCCATTTCACATCCGAGATATAGAACGTGACAGTGAATTGCTTTTTGGTGCTAATTGATAGGAGACTATAGACTATTGATAAGATGGAATTTTTCTTTCAAGTTTTCTATTAGTCTAGTGACTAAAGCAATGAAAATTCCCACTCTGCATGCCTGCTTCAGAGTATCTTAAAAGAACACAGCAATGGGGGTTACTTAAGTCCTTCTGGATCGAACACACAGATGGCATTTTAAGTATAAGTGGCATGTTTGAAAGGTGAAAAGGCAGACAGCAGATCTGCAGCTCCTGGACTTCGGGGAGACCCAGCTATCTCACCCTGTCCCCCTCTCGCTTTATATTTCACAGCCTCGCTCCTCAACCTCTTCCTGAAAATGGAAAAGATGCTGTTGTACTGCTTTCTGCTGATCTTCGGACAAGTCCTTCTCCTCTCCGCTGAGGCTAGGGAGCGGCCACACTCCAGGTCCATCTCTAGAGGGAGACACGCTCGGATCCACCCGCAGACCACGCTCCTGGGTGAGTGGTGAGGGCTGCCCCTGCTGAAGCTGGCAGGATGGGGTGGTTAACGGAGGACCACAAAGGACCAGGGATGACCCCCAGAAGGGGTCTCTCCTGTCCCTGAGCCCTCAGCTGGGTGTGCTGAGGGTGGGGAACCTCACTGGTAGTGAGTGAATCTGAGTTGAAGGTATTCAACACAATGAAATTCAACCTCTTGCCTTTTAAAAGTTGAATACGAGGCTCACACTTTTCTCCAGTATGCAGGGCAAGATTTTTCATGGACAAGGGTGTTATGAGAATTTTTTACTGGGTATATTCAGCAAAATCTGTGTTAATAAAGCTTCCCCACATGACAGCATGAGAAGAAGAGCAAACAGGCTTATATGGGTATGGGGATGGCAGGATAGTCATAGAAGAGAGGTGAGGACGCTGTGAGCTCAATCAAGATGTTGTTAGGGGTAGAAAATGTCAGAGGTTAGTATTCTAACCCAGTGAGTATGTCTTCTCTGGGTGAGTTGTTTCCTATTCCTCTGCTCTGAGAGAAACGAATGCCATGGAAACACATAGAATATAGATAAATGGGTTCCTTTCTAAATATGAGGTCTGGTAAGCTTAGGATAGGGGAGGGGGAATATGGAGGTTGACCAATGGGAAGAGAATGGCTATTGGCATAGACCTGGGTTCAAATCCTACCTCTGTTACTTACCAGATGTATATATTTAGGCAGCTTAATTACTTTGAAAGGATCCCTGGTGTCACAGTGGGTTAAGCATCAGGCTGTCAACATAAAGGTTGGTAGTTCAAACCTGACAGCTACTCCATAGGAGAAAGATGAGGCAATGCTTGTGTTAAGAGTCACAGTTTTGGAAACCCAATGGAACAGCTTTCACTCTTCCCTATGTTGTTAAGTGCTGTTGAATTGGTTCCAACTCATAGCAGCTCTATATAGGGTTTCCAAGGAGTGGCTGATGGCAGTGTTTGTCCTACAGCGCTACACCAGAATTGAAATCAATGCAATGGCAGTGGCTTTGGGTTTAGGTAATGTGAATACGCATGATGGAGCATTTTGGTAAGGAGCAAATGAAGTGATACATAGTTGTTGTTGTTGTTGTTAAGTGCCGTCGAATCGATTCCGGCCCATAGCGACTCTATAGAGGGTTTCCAAGGAGCAGTTGGTGAGCTTGAACCACTGACCTTGCAGTTCAAATGACTTTGCAGTCTGACACATTAGCCCACAGCGCCACACCAGGATTTGATACCCAGTTGTTGTTGTTGTTAAGTGCCATCGAGTCAGTTCTGACCCATAATGACCCTGTAGAGGGTTTCTGAGGAGCAGTTGGTGAGCTTGAACCACTGACGTTGCAGTTTAAACAGCTTTGCAGTCTGGCACATTAACCCCCAGCGGTACATAATATATGATAACATTTACTACAACTGTCAATTCCACTGAGTTGTTGCTTTGAAACGACCCTTACCATTTACTTCTTGTTGGCAATGGTAAGACTCTGACACCCATGCAGACCATTGAGAGAACTGCTCAGTAGTGACCAGGCAACTCCAGCTTCCCAAATTACACTTGGAGCGCAAGGAGACTCAGCCAGCCTTGCTGTAGGAGATGAGAATTTTTACTAGGGTTGACCTAAATAGTGACCCTGTGATACCAAGTCTTCCTTGTCTAAAGTTTCCCACAATGCCTGTTTTTATAGTGATGTAAATGAAGACTTCTACAAATGGGAAAAGGACTGGGAAATATTTTATAAGTCAAGTAAAGGATTAAAAAAACAAAACTCATTTCAAGATGATAATTAACATGCATGTTGTTTGTTGTTGTTAAGTGCTGTTAAATCAGTTTTGACTCATAGTAGTAGCTCTGTAGAGGGTTTCCAAGGAATGGTTGGTGAGTTTGAACCACTGATCTTGTGGTTCAAACTGTCCTTGCAGTCCAGTGTTTATCCTACAGTGCCACACCAGGACTCCTATATATACCTTGGTGTTGTTGTTATTGTTAAGTGATGTTGAGTTGGTTCTGAATCATAGTGACCCTGTATAGGGTTTCCCAGGAGCATCTGGTGGGTTTGAACAGCCTATCTTGTGGTTTGCAGTCCAGTGCTGATCTTACAGTGCCATACCAGGAGTCCTTATTCCTTACTTATTGAATATCTCATGGTCTGACACTTAGCATGTACAGCAATAGTAAAAAATCTGCTCTCGGACTATTTTTCCCATAAACAGTGTATGTCTGACAGTGACAAGTGCCAAGGTGCAGGGTGAGAGTAACACCAGCAGTAGTGGTGAAGGTTATGTGTCAACTTGACTGGACCATGGTACTCAGTCGTTTGGCAGCTAAGTCATGACTTTCAGTAGTGATGTAATGATGTCATCATTCTTCATTTGGGGATCTGATGTGGCCTTTCTCCATTTTCTCAGAATCCTGATTTTTGTATAACGACCTGGTCTTTGGAACTTAACCATGTTGATAAGTGAGGAGTGGGTATAGTGTATAGTATGCCTTTCTATGCACAAAAACTTTAAAGAAACATTTCCAGATACGCTGAAACATCTTTAACATAATAATACCCACTGTTGTCAAGGCACTTCTGGCTCATAGAGACCCTGTAGGTCAGGGTAGAATTGTCCAATAGGATTTCCAAGATTGCCAATCTTTATAGAAGTACACGATCACATTTTTCTTTCTTGGAGCACCTGCAGGGTTTGAAGTGCCTGCTGTTTAGTTGACAGCTGAGGACTTAACCAATGCACCACTAGGGCTCCTGTAGCATACAAATACAGAAATAATTTGTTATTATAAATCATTGTATGTGCTTCAAAGTTTAATACAACAGGTTTTATGGAGGTTGGTTCATAACTAGGGTTGTAAGAGTAAGTTGGGCATTCATAACCCAGGGATTGCTGGAACGCCACTTGGCTCCAAATTGTTCCCTTTGGGTCTCTGTCTCACACACCCTTACTCACACACACACACTGTTGTATCATGCATACGCTCACACATACTCACATACATCGCTCTCTCTCTTTCACACACACACACCAGAATCTTCAAAGCTCTGGTTCTGAGTCAGAAATAGAAGTCCATTTTACCAAAAGGCATCAATCCCAACATCCAGCATTGCTGCCTGTTTCTGCAGAATGTGTGAAGAGGAGGGTGGGACATGGGTACACAGCCCCACCCTAAGGACTGGGAGTGGGGTGCTGCCAGCAACCTCCTTTCTACTCGGTAAACCCTGCAGGTGGCTGCTCCCAGATGTGCTGGCAGGCTTAGGGATGCGGTTGAATGAAAATCATGAAGTCGAAAGATGAATGCTACAGCTTTGGCCTCAGCTCTCCAGTGAGATCGGCTCTGGGTCTTTTTCTGACAGGAAACACAGATGGAGAAACCATGCAATGATTAAGAGGCCTCCATTTCATTCTTGCAATTCAATGTCTTGTGTTTTATGGGTGTTTGCTTTTCTTGGCTCTTTGTTTTCTGTGTTCTGAACATTACTCAGGCCACAATTCACTTGTTTATGGCAAATCACTGTGGCTTTATTTATGGTATCCACCAGCATGATGTATTTTATTAGAAACTTATTTACTTGGCTGTCTCTGAATTTCCTTTTGATGAAAGTTTTAACAGAGAAGAAACAGCAGAATTGTTTCTTAAGTTCTTCTTTTGTTTGGCTTTTTTGTTTATTCCTTTGTATGTTTATATTTGATGTCTAAATTCAGATGAGTCCAAGTAACAAATGGAACTAGTTTTTTTTAAAAAAATGCATGTATGTATCTACCCACACTGTGAACATTTGCAGACCATCTGTGATGTGTTTGGAGAGCATGTCTGCCTGTAATGTCTGCCCATGTGGATTTACCTCTTACCTCATGCATTCGTCTGGAATTTCTACTTTGTGCCAGGTACAGGGGATTAAGATGAACAACCACAATCAGGAGGTGCACAGTCTAGTGGGGGATGGGGTGGGGGGGACAGACAGATGAAAAGATCATTAATTTGGTAAAATCAGTGTTCAACAATAGAGTCATATCTAAGTTACAGCTTAGCTCTGTCTGCTGTGTAGATTTGATATAAGGTAGTAGTTCTCAGACTTTTTTCTCTCAGGACCCTTTGACTGTCAAAAATTATTGAGGTTTCTAAAGAGCTTTGTTTTTGTGGGTTAGATAGGTTGATATTTACTGGATTAGAGATTAAAACTGAGAGTGTTTAAAAATAACTATTAATAAATAAAAAAAAATAATATTAAACCCTTAATATGTTATGATGTGGCACTGTAGGATAAGCACTGGACTGCAAGGTCAGCTTGAACCTCAGGGTTGGCAGTTCAAACCCACCAGCTGCTCTACTGAAACCCTATACAGAGTTGTTATGAGTCTGAACCAACTTGACAGCACTTAACAACAACATGTTAACATAAATAAATATTTTGCATAAGAAACTGTATTTTCCAAGTAAAAGAGTGGTGTTGTGTTGCATTTTTGCAAGTTTCTTTAATGTCTAGCTTAATGGATGACAGCTGAGTTTTCTTAGCTACTCCATTCAGTCTGCTGGGAAATATTGTTTGGTTGGTCTCTATGAAGAAAATAGACCTCACAGATACGTAGTTGGAAAAAGGAAGAGTGTTTTTTATAGCCATTTAAAGTAATTTTAGATATTCTTTGATACCAAACCAAAACTTGATAAATGATAATTTTAATAAGTATTAGCTGCATTGTGTAATCTAAAATCATATCAATACTTTTCATACTTTGTATACTTATGAAGGAATGAGAGTAACAAAAAGACAAATATTGGTGTTATTATAAAAAGTATTTTTGACCTTGTAGATTCTCTCAAAGAGTTTCCCAAACCAAAACCAAACTTCTTGTTGTCTAGTTGATTCCAACGAAGACTGCTTTCAAATGATCTTGTTATTGTTAAGTGCTGTCAAATAGAGTTCTGCTCATAGCAACCCTATAAAGGGTTTTCTGAGGAGCAGCTGGTGGGTTTGAACTGTAGACCCTTAAAAATC